TCAATTATGAAAAGGCTTTTTGACTCAAGAATTGAATTTTCTGTAGAATTCTCCGAACCCTTCACCAAGATGACCAGACTAAAACGACAACAGAGACACGCATAGTGCTGGTAAGATATTCCATTTCCACGTAGTAGTTTTACCGTTACTACTTTTAAACTTCATAGACTTGCTGTTAATCTTGGATTTTGCTTTTGCTCTTCTTTTGTACAGGAAGTTATAGGAATCGTAGGAACAGTTTTGCGTCTTACTGTGCTTTCAATCAGACTCCGGCCGAGTGCGTTCATTTGCTGTCACGAGGTGGAGAGTAGAGTGGGACAGATTGGTCGTCACATGAAGCACACGTGGGCGCACAATCAGGGCCATGAGTCCACGTGACTTCTGTCTTGTGGCATATTCAGCGCAACTCGTGCTCCATCTTCATTCGTTGTTTGTGGAACACGGCCCCAAAAAAAAAAAAACACATGATGAGTCATGCACGTGACAGAAACGTGGACAAAACTAAGAACAGGACGCTTACCAAGTGCCACGTGACGCGCATTGAAACCACGATTGGCCGATGCTGACAGTAGACTGCCCCGTAATTAATCGTTAAAGACATTAAAGACAAGTGTTAATGGTCATGGCGATGTACGTTTTGTAACATTAGTTTGCGCTAGCAACATGAGCTGTAATTCTATATCTAGTGCACATATATTTTAAACTTTGCGAGCTTTGGTAAAGAAGTTGTGAAATGATTATGTGGAGTCCTTTCCTTCCGTGGTGGAAATATTATTGAAAATAGGAATATTTTTGTAATGAAATAAAAGCAGTGATTTACTTATGTCTCCTTTTGGGTGCATCAATCGTTGGCCTTCTTTTTCAGCCTCAAATGCGAAATACTGATGGCTGTTAAATCATAATTTCTTGTATTTTTTTTGCGCGAGTTCGTGCGTGCGTGAGTGACTGGCTTGTCTGTGTGGGTTGTGTCAGATCTCCTGCAAAACATTCCTTTCCAAGAGATAGAAACTCCCTCTACTACTTACACACGATTCCCCGTCTTTCGTCAAACTCTATATACGTAAGAAAGAATGAGGAGTGAGAGCTAATCCTCCATTTTTCCAAAACGCCTCTCAATTCTTAGAGATGGTGCTCAGTGCTCTCGTGGTTAATATCACCACGCGCGTTGCCTGGATGTTTCGTGGAGAACCCGCTTGGGCTGTCACGTGAGCAAAATTCGGATTGGCTATTTCCAGACCCTCCTCTGGAATGATTTTTCCGGTCGCTTTTGTGAAGGGTTAGCTCGAGCTGGCCGCCAAACATTAAGCTGTATCTCTTGAACAATGCTTTGAAAAAGAAATTCGCCGAAACCAGGAGCCCATGGGCTAATTTGTCAGCGGTTCACCGTAGCAGACTGATATGCAAAATTTATACCGCACAGTGAACCAATCAGAATTCTCTTTTCACCTAGACCAGTTTGACATATTATAATGATAATCTTGTCTTGTTTTGATATGTTACAAGCACAGTTGCAAAAGTATGATTGCACTGTGATAAATTTCGTTAGCAACTTACAATTGCGCAGACTTTTGCAAAGTAGAAATATAATGTCTGCCGTTAGGAATAAACTCCTACGCTTGGTAATGCGAACTAAGAGAAGATTATATGATGTCTACGGTTAGGAATTAAAATTCCTAACCGTTAAAACTCATAGGTTTGGGCACAATTCTTTTCGCGAGTGTACTTTTACTCTATTAGCCTACGTGGCAATTGATTTTCGTGGCAGCTAATTAATAGACCGAGAAAACAAGTTAGAGGTAGAGATCGTCGGTAGAGCGTAGCAATCTTTTCGAAAAAGCAAAAAATGCTCACTCCATTGACGAACGCAAAACCAATTCTATTGGCGGACGGCATAGGCGGGAAAATGGCAGTCACGTGATCGTCTGAAACTTTCTCGAGAAGCGACAAAAGTCTCGGTGCTTTTGATCTTTTTAAAGCCCGTTGCAATTTATTTATTCACCGTCAACAGCTCGTTTCGTTGACTTGTGCCTTTCGCTGAGTAGTTTATGTTAACTTTTCTCTTCAAGGTTGATCAAAGAATGGCATCGGCCAATAACAAGGCTAAAGAGGCGTGGAATATTTGGCGGTAACCCACGTGGCTGCATTCAACGGGGTTCTTTCGTTTGATTGCTGAAGACTCGGCATGAGATAGAACCGTTATGTAATGTTTCTGAGTACGATATCGTGAATATCTCGCTAGTGACGTAATTGTCATTGATCTTTGTATATACTAACTGTGCACCTAAAGGCTTGCGAAGAAAATTATGATTTACTGGCAGGTGGATATTTGACGGTATATTACCCGAAAGCATTACATAGCGCATATTCTCAACACGTCTCTCCACGCTACTTTTCTGAATTATACTGTTCTTGAAGCTTCATAGTTCTTCTTAGCGGGTGTTTAAAATTAACTTTACGTCTTATCTTTTCCACTCTTAAAAAACTAATTGCCTTTCTGTTAGATAACGGCTATCCCATTGTTTTATGAGCCTTGGCGGTTCTAAAATGCAATTTTTAAGACTTGTCACTTATTCGTCACTGAAAAACAGGACAAGTCTTTGATCAAGCTGGTTACACACATCGTCTTAAAAAGAATTCTGTTGAAAAGTTTTTTTTTCCTTTTTTCTTGGATTTCTTTATTGGTTATTTCAAGAACGTTTTACACGTTCGCTCGACGGGAGGGTAAAACATCAAGAAAAGATGTGGAAAAATTACCGTAATGGCACAGTTTTCGTGAATTGTTTTATTAATTCTTGACGTTCCTTGGTGTAGAACATGCTGCAGCTGATATCAATAAACACCCACGAGTTATTCGACGCAAAAATGTCTTTGTTCGGCCGTAAATTAAGCCACAAACAAAGAAATCATCATGTTCTGGCGATAATTTCCATGCCGGCTCTTGACACGTTCACTAATTTTGTTTTGGTAGAGAGAAGAATACGCGAGCAGTCAAACTTAACAGGAGGTAACTTGTCATCTTCCTGTAGCGTCGAGTGATGTTTTCAGTTTTGCTCATAATTCAAAATAGTTCTTCCGAAAATAGCCGGGAAGATTTTATCTCAGTTTGAACTCTGTTTGGGGGAAATTTTTTTTTTTAGGATTGGAATGTTGACTTAAGTCATAAATCTTGAACCTCTCCTATGTCTTATCGCTGCTATCTATTGCTCGTCTCATCTCGTTAGGCTCATGCCGTGTCAACAAACTATAGTATTCGATGCGGCTCCTTTTCTAAACTTTTCAGTTGTTTTATTAAATTGTAAATTATCAGTTCTGATTCCTGCCGAGAAAGTGCATTAACGTTAAATCTTCATCTTTCTTTTTGCCCAGCAACGCCGGCGAGGGTGGTAAAAATAAGGAGACATCACTCGAAAAAAAAATAGAAAAAAGAATTGTGTATTACGATTTTTTTTCCTCTCCAAGGGTGATGTGACTTTCTCAGTGGCCCACGTTTTAAACACGCCCTTTTAAGCTCTCCAGGTTATTCTGGTTTTTCGGTCGAAAACTGTTGCCTTGCAGGATGTTTAGAACCCACGCCAGAGCTAGTTGTTTTGATTCAACAAAGTTTTAAAGGAAAGTGATTTTCTTGTCACTCTATACAATGGTTAAGGCATCAGAGGGATATTAAAAACAAACGAAATAAAAAACCCTGGCGTCCTGAAGTCTCGCGCACTGGCATAAAAACAATCAGCTTTGTCCTTTTGAACTCCTGACAGTTTCCCTTCAACCAACTGCCTACAAACAAAACCAGCGCTGCTTTTCCAAACTACAGTAATTGCGCAAATGTTCCGGAAATTGCGGCTCAGTTTGCACGCAACTAAATATTTTAAAATGCACTGAGTGACAGATCTTGAGAGTTGTGGGTTTGTGATTTTCCTTGGCTCAAAACATAGCGTAAACAATCACATCATCAGGTGGCAAGCTATGAAAGCCCTGGTCTCGATTTTCTATGTCAATATTTTTAGAAGTGATGCATCCGTCTCGTGACTGTGTGAAATGTTGTCTGATGAGTCATTAGTGTGTGAGATTTTTTGCCAAGCAACCCGTTTCCGCTCTTATCAACCAACGTGTGGTCTGAGCTGTGCTCGGTTATGGATTGTTTGTAAATAAATAACAATTTGACACAAAAGCTCTACTTATCTTGAAAAAACAAACAATGCCGGTGGTCCATAAATAAAAGTCCTAGGTCAGTTCGACAGTTGCCTCAGTTCTGCACACTGTGTCGTGAACACCTCTTGACTGTCATTCCAGTTAACTCACGCATTCTGATCTCAAGCGACATGTTTCCGTCACACCGTAGCTGTTACGCTTCGCCCTACTTGTGCCAGCCATCTTTTCACCCCGCTCTGCCAAGCTATGCCTCAGCGTTTTACCCACAGTGGGGTCGCGCGGGCTTCACCCTCAACTGTCATGGCGCTGGGATATTTTTCCGTGAACAAGAGCCCCTCCCAAAGCCGCCATACTCTTATGTGGCCCTCATCTCGATGGCTATCAAGCAAGCGCCCAACGAGAAAATTACCTTGAGTGGGATTTATCAGTTTATCACGGAGAACTTCCCATACTATCGCCTCAACAAGCGCGGCTGGCAGAACAGCATTCGTCACAACTTGTCGTTGAACAAATGCTTCGTGAAGATCCCTCGCGAGCGTTCGGACCCTGGCAAAGGATGCTACTGGAGTCTGGATCCGTCTTACGAGGAAATGTTCGAGGAGGGAAACTTCCGAAGAAGGCGAAGAAGACAGAGGAATTACCGCGGAAAAGAAGACGAAGACGACGACGAAGATGAAGAGAACAGCAGCGCTACGGAAATTAGCGCAAAATCGAAGACAAACGAAGTCGTACAGGTTGATCACCTCGCTAAAAACTCACTCGAGCAGGATGCAGGGCACAAGAGTAGTGATTCGACAACGGCCAAAGAATGTCGCTCGGTAGAGAGCCCTATCGAAGAATCTTTTGCAGACGATGCGAACGTAAATAAAACGGAGAAAGCTGGGGTATCGTCCCTCAACGAACTGCCTCAAGAAACAGGCGTCCTAGATGTAGTTCATCCCTTTAGCATTGACAATATTCTAGGGAAAAAGCAAACGAGAGAAAGGGGCGCACAATTCGTGAACGACGCTTGTTCATTAATCGAGAACAGTGCATTAGGAAAGATACGTGCACAGAACATTACTAGCGTGCAGACAGTGGGTTCAGATGTGGGAAAGATAACAGATGCCGTGAATATTCCTGCAACAAGATTCAGTGTTACTGCAGAGCCAGCTTTCAGCAATCCAGTGCAGGGATTCTGTAACGCCTGCACAACCTTAAACCGCAACAATACAGGGATAAATTCGGCTTCCCTAACGGCCTCTTATGGCTCATACTGGACCGTGCCTACCTCACCGCACTCGAGCTTGTGCCCTCAATGTAACTGTGCTAATTGTCGTCCTCTTGGCTATGCAGTTTGAAACACCGAGACATTTTAAGTACGTGATAACAGGCTAGAAATGAACGAGAGAGCTTAAGAGTTTTATTTTACTTCGTGCCCTGCGGTTATAAGCACTTTTTACAAAGGCATGAGAACATGTATTGGGCCGCCAGCGGAAGACATTAAATAACTGGATCAGCTTCGGTTACTAAATGTCCATAATTGCCTCTAAACCAAATTTTACAGTCTGTTTTATTCTATTATTAATTGCACAAGTTCGTTCGCTGAGATATTTAAGACACGAGTAGATGTAAGAATTGCGTGTAAAAATTGTCGTTTAGTGCTGGCTGAGGAAAATTTTCCGAAGCGCGATCTTGTATGACCGAGAGTTAAGTTTGGTTTAGCGAGGAAAATAGGTTACAATTAAGAAGATCACATTAGTTCATTGTATTGTGGATAGAATAATAAAATGATAAAATCTAAAACACTGATTTATCTTGGCCTTTAATAGGTATACTTCGCTCTTGAGAAGGCTTGAGTGCTAAACAGAAAATACAAGAATAGGTTTCAGTGAATGATAAATGTCACGAACATTTAATTCTGCGTTTACAAAGACACGTAGCAGATATATAGTTCTAACATTATTTCCAGACGAACTGTTGAAAATGGCTTGCCTTTGGGCCAAATCTTCCTTTCAAACGATGCGATTTCGAAGGAAAACTATTTTTTATTTTCTCAAAAACTATTTGAGGCGTGTCACGGGACCTTTAGCCCGAACGACCGCAGTGGGTTTTCCTTACAATAATATCTTGCAATCCTATCAACTCTATTCGTCTGTATTGCGCGATTTAGCTACAGAATAAACATTTTTCTTTGCTATTTGTGAACCTTTCGTGTGTGCTGTAAATATTGATATGGTGACGAATAAACAAATAACTCTCCCTGTTTTCAAGAAATATTGTTGAAGGAAAGTCGAGTTAAGTAAACACACCAATGACTTTTCTGACTTTATTTTGACACGAAGCGCAAAAACTTCAACAATCCTTCATTCACAAAGACGCGAACCAGGGGAAGGCATTTCAATCATTATACATACAGGGCTAGCATAGTGTTTACTTCTGCCATTTCCGGTGCCCAGAATTGTTATTTCAGGAACTAAATCAAGGAACGAAATTACGTTTTTACTGTTTGTCTGCCGCTTTTCCTAAGCACGAGTAAATAGCTCGGTAATTTTAAAAGGAGACTTTTCTTCGTGTTCCCGCATTCCCTCGACGAATGCGTCCTGACTTTATCACGTCGGTTCGTAAACATTTCAATTCAGACAACAGAGTCAACAATTGCTCAAAAAGACAGCATTTAGCAAAGCGGTTTAGCACGGTTTGTAAAGACTGTAAACGTTGCAGTTGTTATTTTAGCTGTCGGCTGCTTTTACCAGCTTCTGTGTTTCGCTCTATCAAAGTTTTGAACTCCCGTGGTCGCACCAGCTTGATAAAAGAATCACAGCAGGGATGAAACCTTGAATGAAAAGGTCTAAACGAGATTGTCAGCTGTATCTTTGGAGTCGTTGTTCACCCACGACACCTGTTTATAGCTATTTTGTCAAAATTGTCAACCAAGAATCGACTAGAGACAAAAGAAATCGTTTAAACGCCCAGGTATGTCATTTTGACCTTTGATTAATTCTTTCTTTGAAAACAATCGACCAACTAATGGAAGAAGAAAAAAAAAAATCGAAATCTGCGGAACAATCCGCTTATCAGGGTAAAATCCTTGTGAAAACAAGGGATATATTGTGTATTATCTAGGGGTTTGTGAAAACAGTAAAAACAGCTTCAGTGGCTGATACCGAGCAGCAAGAGTTTCCTACACGAGCGCCAGCGTTTCTCTAGGGCTGTGGAAAATGCACGCTATCCAGCAAACCAAGTACTGTTCGTGGTTTTGGGTCAGGTTTAATTCCACTCTGTCTGATAGGTGTTAGAATTTGTTTTGCTATACCGCGAGGTCAAATATAAATCTCTGCCTTTGTGTATAATGTGTTTGTGGAGGAGTCATTTAGCAAGTAAGCTTCTTAAAGATTACGAAATATCGTCTGAACCGCGTCATAAATTTACTTCACCATTTTTAACATTTTATTTCAAGCAATTTTGCGTTTTTTCTGCCCATGGCAGCCTGCTTTATTAAGGAGAACTCTCTTGGTTCTTTAAGACTTTTTACATGGTGCCATTAAATTTTCCTGTTCTTTGTAAGTTTTAGGCACTCTCAACGCTGTGCAGTGAGTTTTTTTGTCGGTCATATTCAAAGCCATGGGGGAAGTGAATCGGGCAAACGGTGCGAGCAGCTATCTTCTATTTGAACTTTCGTTTGCGGTAATTTCAGCCTTTCTGACTTTCTTACGCCCTCGATTATTTGTGTGTCTTTGCAGGTATTTCCAAATCAGTCTACTGCGAATATGTAAACGATTTATGACTAAAGTTTTCTTTAACATGTATTCTCAAGACAAGCAGCGATTTGTTCGAGAATGGGTTGAAACATTTGCAGTAGCTTTCCTCTATGAAGAAGCCTGCCTCAGCTCACAGCCATGGCTTCATTTGAATATCTTTTCATTTGTTTTACTAGAGATAAAATAGACGCTATACTTGCCAAAGTTAAAATACTGTAGAGATTTAAGAAGATTAAATCAGTGAACTGTGAATGTGTTCAATTCTCAGTATTAAAATGTCTTTGTGCTGAGAGCATCGCGTCAGGAATTTTTGTTTGTGACTTCATGATGAAACGAGAAGCGTAGAAGTGACATTTCTTCAAAATATGTCAAACTTGAAAAGGAATTCTTTCGGTTAAAAAATTAAGAAACTGTGTATTGCCTGCAGCTTCATTTGTATCAATGTGTTCATTTCATATGTTTATTTTGTATAGTTCTTTGTAGTGCTGTTCCATTTAACGAGGTTATCGGTCGATGGAGGTAGCCGAAAGCCAAACAGAATCGTAATTACCCATAGCCCGAGCTTGATTGGGCTACAGTTAGAATCATGACTGTTTAAACTGGCTTCGTTTTTCTACAAAAACGCTTACTGTAAAATGTTGTGTGATCCACGCTTACTTGCTACAATGTTACACCGCTACAAACGTGCTCAGAATTTAGAAAATTACGAAACAGTTCATAACTGGAACTAATGAACTGCACTGAAAAAGCTCGCGTGTATCACCCAGACAAAAACACGATTAAAGCATAAAGTTGTTGTAATCTGACTACAAAACTTGTAACTATTAATTTACTTGAGAAGCTCTTCTAGAAAAGCCATTAGAAAAATATTAGTGAATTCCCTGCGAACAAAACCGAGCGGAGAAATGGGTTCTTCAGTGCTGGGAAGCGTGTTTTGTCGACGCCGTAAACGAATTGGGTTCTCAACGTAATTAACCCATGAGATACATGGAAAACAACTTGGACTGACCGACATCTTGCCGTGAACTGAGATACATTCCTAGGACTAGGGATTCTGTTCTTTCCTACCTCAGAGTCTTGGCTAAATGTCTGACTTGTGCGCAGTCAAAAACCTTGTAGCGGTCTTCCCCACAACTTGTAAATTCTTTTACTCGGCTTACATTTCTGCGATTACCTCGAAATTCCTGTTAGCCTGACCGCAAAGTAAATTAGTATATTAAAATCTGTTGAAGTCAAAGCATACAAAATTCCCGTTTCGGGAGCCAAACTGTATGCATGGAAAACAAATTCGCAAAGTTGGCCAACCGAATGTGTATGCTTAAATCATTGTAACCTGAGGTTGTCAAAGAGTAACTAAACAAGTTTGTTGAACAAACTTGTGATCTTATCGTAGTTATTCAGTAAAGGTAACAGTGTTTTTTCAACAAATATCGTGTTCAAATACAGCTGACTAACCTGTGTACACCTTGGTCCGTTTTGTCTGTTTTTAAGTTTGCACTACTCGCATTTATTGTTTGGTGGTGTTTGCAGCATATTTTTTAGCTTATCAAATCGTTTCAGTCCTGAGTTTGTTATCGGTGGGTTGGTTTCCTTGTGGACTTCCTCATGTCCTTTGTGGTTTAAAGTGAGACCACCCATGCAAAAGCGACTGCAATGAGTGAAACCTTCCCTTGGTAAGCATATTGTTTATTCATCAATGGACAAATGACTTGAGCTCTATACTCGTAATTTTCAAGAAGCCTTGCTGTTCGATACCGAAACTTTGCCTCTTCTCTGATTTTACCAATGCGTTTGATAGAGTGTACATAGTATTTTTTAATCGAATATTGAAACACGTTTTCCCGTTCGCGAACGTCTTTTCAGTCTGTTAACCCATCGCGTATCTTACTGGGGTAGATTCTGCTCGACAAGCAATGTGTTAGGAAGTTTATTCTATTTAACTGAGTAAACACAAGTTCGAAACTGTTTGAGTGATTCGGTGTTTAAAATTGACGGAATGTCTTTTAGGCCTCGTCTAGTCGCTGTTTACAAGGAAAAGGGCGTGGTTGTGACTTGGCTAAGACCAAAGAATATACGTCAAAATATGCACTTAGACATGAAATATGAGAGAACGGCTTAGATGACATATTTGTAAAGCCTTTTTCACCAAGTTGGCTCAAGAAAATAGCGTAGAATTCCTTGTGATTTTATTTTTAATTACCTTCTTTAACATGGTCGTGTCCATTAAAATTGTCCTCTGGGCTTGAAAAGAAATCTCGTTTGCCCCCTGAAGTTGTATAAAGTAGATTTTAAACGAATTCTTTACCAGTCAATTATATCGGAACCAATGTGTTAAATCCACAAAATATTTCTGCAGTGCGAGACAAGCGGGGAACGAGCGCGAATTACAAATCGTCTCACGCGATAGGGACAGAGCCACCTCGCGAGATTTCAGTGTTCGTAACATCGAATTAGATCAAGGAAGCCAAAATTGTCGTAAATGGCTAAAACAACTTTGTAATCTTGATGTTAAGGAAGACCTATTATTCCGAAATACCTTTGTTACTATCAGAGAATTTAAATCAATTTTGCATACGCGTGAAAGTAATATGTGTCAAAAACACGCGTGGCAGAAGCCAACAAAGTGTCGTAGCAGCACGCGATCTTTTCTTTACGGAGAAAATCTCATTGTGACGGGAAAAAACACTCTAGATCTTTTTGATAATTCATGTTCCATCAGCATAATAAAAGGCAGCACAGCAAAGTTACTATTGTGAGTTCTTCCTGCTCGGCTCCATTCCGTCTCGAGCCTTTTTCTGGTGAAGAAAGCAAGAAAGAACATTAAGGCAGCTATTCTTTCCTCTTGGTGAGAGCTCTTCTTTGCTATTATCTCCAATATCTTCCTGAGATGATCGCGCAGCTTGATGCCTCTATTTTCTGATAAAACCCATGGATAATTGCCAGTCTGTATTATTGTAATAAAACAGTAGGAAGACGCAATCGTATTTTTGTTTAAGAACAAAAGCTCTTTATAAACCGTCTCCATCTTGGCGCTAGGGCGCTCAGAATTTTTCCTCTTCTTTATTTTCTTGTCAAATTGGTGCCAGGGAGAAGATTGAAAACCATCGCTACCGGCCCTTGTTTCTTTAAATGTTCTCGCACGTTTCTTTCCACGGTTTTGCTTAAATTGAAAGATCTGTACGAACTTTGTCACGATTCATTAAGCACTCGATGTGAAATTATAACGCTTTTTGAGAGAATTAAATCAGACATTTGGAGTTCGTAAATTTTTTTTAAAATTAAACCCTCATGCTGTTTTAACTAGTTTGGCTATCCAGCTGAAAATCTTTAATAAATTTTATGTTTTCTTTTATTCCATTATCCAACTCTAGGTGATGTAATTGTTTCGAACTGCCTTTCTCGTTCAATTTTAATCAAAAGGAAATGATCTTCTTTTAGATAGGCCTGTCGATGTTAATCACAGTCGCGGTAACTAATAGAAGTGAAAAGAACCTTCTATCTGAATTCAAAGATCTCAAACTAGACCACAAAATTTGTAGTTAAAATTTGATCAACACATCACTGTTTTGGGAAAGCGAGAAAGTCAGTTTGTATTTTCTTTGGCAAATGGGTCAGTGCAATTTCTGTAGAAAGGAACTGCAGTTGATCAATCTGTCTTATAAACATCGAAGCCACCAAAGTTGATGTAAGACGTTCATCTAATAAGGTCTTGAAT